TTTGTGACAATATCATTTTTTTTATTTTTTTTATTAATAGACGAAATATTTGAGAGAAGTGATAAGTTAAAGGGATGTGATTGTGTTTTTGTTCAACAAGGAAATCAAAATACAATCGCACACAATAAATTATCTTTTGAAATTGTCATTCCAAATGTGGTAGGCCCATAAGAAAAATCTTTTCTAAATTCTATCTAAAAAAAAAAGATTAATTTAAATTTTAAAATCATACTCATCTCATTATAAGATTAAAACCCTATTGGTTCTTCATCGGTTAAAAAAATCATCAGTAAACGCCGACCTAAAAGGGAAGTAAAAAATGTAGATCAAATGATGTGATATTATTATAATAAGACAAATTTGAATTTCAAATGTGTAAAAGTAAAACCAATAATACCACTATATCATTTGATTCATATTTGTTTTAATTTGTTTAGTCAGATTAACATTACTCAAAAGAAGAATACTACAAAACTCAAATGAAATTCAAAAAATTACAACTCAAATGCATATCATCCCTTAGATGAATGGATTCTATCAATATTTTCAGTGAGATTCATCCATCCAAATGATAATATGCATTTGGATTTTAATTTTTGAGTTTTATTAAGATTATGTAGAATTTTTCTACTCAAAAACCATTGTGAGTCTAGATTTTGTCTAAGTCAGTTCTTAATGCTTTATTTCAAACAAATTACTCCCTCTCTTTCTATCTCTCTCCTCGGTATTTAGTTTAACTTGTATACAATAATTCAATGTATAATCCCACATGGGAAAATTGCCTGTCATTATTTGATGTTATTATTTTGACTTTTGGTAATTCAAAGGTCTCAAATTCAATTTTTTTGCATTCTCTGTAAAAGTTAGTCACTCTTGTGCTCTAATTTCAGATTTTTTTTCTATACTTTTCCATCTCTTCCCCCCAATACCGGTCACGATTGAATGAATGAGTGTAGTCTACTTTGCACAGTGTTGGAGTCCTAATACTTAAGGGGTATTAATTGATAGGAGCATATCGAATTTAATTTAGGAGGGACACAAAAGTTTATATTAGAATTGGTGAGTTAAATTTGTAAAGTTTTCAAAATATATTAGCAGTCTTAATAGATTACTTTTCTGATGTAAGTGCCAACCATTTTATGTACTTAATGTGCTCCTTCATTAATATTGGGTGATTGAAAATTAGAACGGGCTACCCGATTTATTTACATTTCAAAACATGAACAAGCAAAAGTTTCGATGAAAGCAAAAGTTTTGGTTGTGTATACACACTAACTTTTGATGTATTTATTGTAGAATTGTTAAGAATGACTGGAAGACGTGCTTTTGTGATGATTTATTGGGGTGGTAGCATATTCAAGAACCATGATGTTTTACGATACGATAATGGTTTTAAGCGTGTGATAAAGGTTGCACATGACACAACATACTCGGCATTGGTGCATAGGTTGCATGATGTGACGGGGATAGATAGGAATAAATACAACCTCAAACTTATCTATAGGTTTCCTACGTTGAATGAGTTTCAACATACCGTGTGCTGAACTAACGTACCCCTGAATAGGTTTCTACAAACACTGTCTTGAACTGACAACTAACTACTTTATCATAATGCAGAAGAAGAAAAAGTGACCACTCGTGACTACTTAATGTCATGTGTTGAAGTGACTACACCCTGACTGTATTTCAGTAGACTATGTGGTGAAGTGACAAAACACTGAATGAGTTTCAACTTACCGTGTGCTGAACTAACTTAACCCTGAATGAGTTTTTCCAAACACTGTATTGAAGTGACTACACCCTGAATTGATTTCAGCAGACGTGTCTAACTATACTGTTTCACTTTTGACTAATATGACTTATCTAACACAGTATGCTTAGGACACTACTATTTAAACACCATTTTTCAGTTGATATGGCAAACAAAACATTATATCTACATCAAATTTCTCTACGAGCTTTAACAATTGTAGACGTGAACGGGTTTGTTTATTACAAGAACGGAACGATAATTACAAGAATGAGAGATTTTCAGATCCAAAAGAGTATTATGCAGGAGTACGACAAGAGTGGGCTTTTCGTGCTAAAGAATCAGATGAACTATTTACAAAACTACGAGAACTTGACATAATGGTGCCTCGTAGACGACCACTAAGAATGCAACGTCGGAATAGAGAAGACTACGATTCAGCAGTAAAACAAGTTCGAAAAGAAAATAATAAAATGCTGGTTTTTAGGTCTCACTATTATATGCTCCAACAAGCAAAAGACATGATGAGAACTACACATGGACGAGAGTTGACACTAGTTGAGCAAAATAATATATTGTCTAATGCACAATACATGTCAGATAATTATATGTCTGATGAAGCTTAACAAAGTCTGCATTTGAAGTGTAGTCAGTCTAGTGAACCCATTACATTGCAGTGTAATGTCAAGACATGTCATGTCAGTCCTTTGTAATTGTAGTATTGTGTATTTACTTTTGCATTTTGAACTCATTACATTGTTGTGTTAGTTTAGTCAGTCTAGTGACAAGTCATGTTAGTGCTGTTTTATCAGTGTAGTCATTCTATTGACAAATCATGTTAGTCCTTTTGTTATTCACGAGTTATGTCATTACTTTATCAGTGTGGATTCATATCATTATTTTACCTATATCAAGTCATGTTACTCATACCTAGTAATTGTCTTGTCAAATTTATATATAATTATATTTCGTGTCTATATAACTCATACTTATTAGTTTTGTACATCATAACCCTAAATATGTCTAGCCGCACATCTAGGAGACAATCCAGTCAAACCACCAAAGGTTCTTCATCACGCAATGAACAACAAAGTTCATCTGCACATTATGAACGTCAATGCTCGACTAGCCGAGCAGCATGTGGTGTAGACGTAGTTCGTTCAATTGAATCCTACACAGATTCTACTAGTGCAACTTGGTATGGACAAAAGCGTGAGTTTCGTAATGAGCCCATCGAACCTTATCACTCATTCGGTCAAGTTGGACACGTATTTGTGAGGCTTGTGACAGACTCTTCGCCTTCGAGTGTTCGTATCGAGCCCACGCCAAGATGGTGACAGTTATATGACAAACGTTGTGAGCTTGAAGTATATTGTCGTTGGCATGGATTAATGGTATCAAAGGCACGTTCGGCTGATATATATGATCTACAAAACTCCACCAACCATAACAAGATCATAGCAAGACTTGAACGTGAAAATAATTAAATGCAGCGTAGACTTGATCGTTTGCATGCAATCGACCATGCAAAAATTGAGCATTTTGATTATGATTATGCTGAAATTGAAATTTTGCAGGATCTGTTACTTGTTTCAGATACAAAACTGTCTAATTATTCTAATTTAAGTGATGATGCGTCTGATACTTTTATCCCATCGAGTTTATGTGTACTGTGCAACCCTCTATGTTGTTATCTACATCAAGCAAAATATTGACACATTATATTTCTTACAGTTTGATGTAATAAATTTGTTATGTTGTAATGTATAAGTAATAATTTTCATATTTTAAAGTTCAACACACTTTTACAGGTCAACTATAAATGTTCGATGAACTTATAACATATAATTGAAATACATACTATTTTAACATATACAAAATTTTTTTAAAAATAAAATGTTTTTCGAAACCATGGCCTTTAAAGTGACGCTTTTTAAAAAAAAATTGAGTTTGAGAAATAAAGTTTTAGGGCCGACTAAGTTTGGGAAAAAACTCCTCCAGATTGGGATACATTTATGACGTGAAAAGTGAGATTATAATATTGATATTTTTAACATATAAAAAACATACTTTTTGATAGAAGAATTGTACTTTCAAAACACGCTTTTAAGTTTTTTTATTAAATATATAATATGAAATTAAATTATGTTTTTATGAATTTTATTTTCGATTATAAAATAAGTTAAAATTTTTATGAAAAGAAAATTAAATTCTAAAATTTATTTAACTTTTTTTCTGGTGAATCATGAGGTGAGACATAAGGTGAGGTTATTTAGCTTTTATGACATTTGGGGGAGAAAACGTCAATGTAAAAGGCTAAGGGGTACAAAATGTCAATGTAAACGCTAAGGGGTAGAAAACGTCATTAAACATTAACAGGAATAAAATATGAAATTAAATTATACTTTTATGCTTTTTTTCGATTATAAAATAAGTTCAACATTTTTATGATAATGGAATTAATTTCTAAAATTTATTTATTTTTTTATGTTTTGTCAGCTGAATTATGGTGTGAGACATAAAATGGAGTTATTTAACTTTTATGACATTTATTACAAGTCGGTGGTTGGAGACTTTTGGGGTAGAAATTGTTAATGTAAAAAGGCTAAGGGATAGAACACGTCAATGTATGTTGGTAAGGGGTAGAAAATATCATTAAAAACATAAAAGGGAATAAAACGTCTTGCAAATGACTTTTTTAAAGTCGTCTTTGACAATGATGTTTTCTTCCCTATATTTTTTTTAAACGTCTGTTAGGGGTCCGTTAAAAATTCTTGTTACAAAACGTCATTAGAAATAACGAGTTTAAAAACATCATTCTTAATGATGTTTTTGGAAAATAATATTCAACTTGAAATCATCTTAAAATGACGTTTTTACACCGGAAGACGTCACTGCAAATAACGTTTTCAAAAAGAAGTTGAGTTTGGAAAATAAGGTCAAAACTGACTAGGTTATGAAAATAAGATTTTAGAGAAATTGAGTTTGGGAAAACCTCTCTTAGAAATACCACTAATTAGTAGCACTGAGCACTATTAATCCTGCAGATAATTTGTATTTAAACTTTTAAAAATGAGTAATGCTTGACAAACCGAAAAATCAGTATAATCCAACCAAAAACGAAAAAAGAAAGAACAATAAAACTCTCTCTCTCTCTCTCGCACAGACACATAGCCATTGAAGAATGTAAGATATATAGAAACACAGTTACATTCAAGGCTTTGGAATATTTTTCATGTATTTCTAGTCTCTAGTTCCACAAATCATATTCCCATGGAGCCTCTTCGCCTCCAAAACTCATACGCTCTTCACAGAAGTATGGATGCCAAACCCAATCGAAAACCATGTCCTCATGCTCAGAACTCCAAGGACAAGGCCAGTCTTCCCAACTCATACAACTTCCCGGCAAATTATCCGATCCAACACCGTCAAACTCTCCGTTACCGTACCACTCATCCCGAACCGCTGCATTCTCCACCCAGTTCTTCGACCCCAAACCGCCGGCAATTTCTCCGGCCTCTGGCCACTCATCCCACACCATTAAAGCCTCCACCCAGTTCTTATTCTTACCGACCATACCGTTAAGATCTCCACCATCAGTCTCCTCCCTCTCGCCATCACCCTCCGCCACACCCTCCTCAATCATTCCCAGCTCTTCATAAGTTTTCTCCGCCGAGCTCATTCTCTCTGTCTTTTCCTCCAAAACACCAGACGGGATCTTCATATTCCACTCATTGTCAGGCTTTAGAAGTTTCACCAAAGCTTCCACCATCTCTGAGTTGTCTTCTTCTCTGCTTCTCTTCCTTCCATTGCCTTCACACAAAGACCTCATTTTTCTCTCTCCAAAATTCTCAGAGTTAGACAGAGATTTTGTGAATCTAAGGTCGATTGATGAAGACAGGAGGAGGGAGAGAGAGAAAGAGAGAGACTGAGGAAGTGAGTGTTTATGTACATGTACGCACACATATATATAGGCAGTGGGGTTTGGATCTTTGGATTATACGCATGAAGGTCTTACTTTTTGCGGTTTCTTTCTTCTTCTCTCTGTCTCTTCCTCTATTCTTTTCGCGGGAGGGAAGGATTAAGGAAGAATCATAAAGGTGACGAGAAATTAAGAGATAAAATCTGATTGTATATGGTAACAACGTTATTATGGTAATATGGGGAAGTAGTTGGCGGCTCTGCATTGTTTTGATACGTGGGGGACGTCGAAATCCCTATGTGCCACCAACCAACTCTCACATTTGGAAGCTTCTTTAATTGTTTAGGCCAAAAAAAAAAAATTATTAAATTAATTTACCAAATAAATATGAACGATTGAATTCGAGAGTCCCTCTATTAAATTTGTTTATATTAATTTAAATTATTGGATGAGTGCCTTCTTTTAAAAAAAATAATAAAATCTATTGATCCAATTATGTGTATTAGTTTATAAACAAAAAATTTATATATTTTTTTTAAATAAACATAGCAGTACCCTTAATTATTTTTTTAGTAGCTCATTTGCATAAGAGTGGGAGCACATCACTGACCATGTGGTATTGACACTTGTGTATAATACGTGGTGCTGTGATTTCCTCTTCACTTCCATGCAAATCAGCCTTCTAAAGACCGAAAAAGCTCAATAAATCAGAGCATTCAAATCTTTTACAATTTCTATTACTCTTTAATTTTAGTCAATGGTACATCATTACTTATTTATGGTCAGGAAATTCACTTATTTTTCTCCGTGAATTTATGTTAGGTGATTTATATTGAATGAAATTAAAAAAAAAAATATTACTAGAAAGAATTTAAATAATAATGGGTACAATAGTTAAATCTCGAGAGCAAAAGGGTAAAATAAAGAAAAACCCACAAAGGTCAGGTTTTTGTAAGATTTATAATGATAATCTTTCAGAATTTTGTCAATCCAGAGCGGATTGACATAATCTAGATAATTCTTACATATTCCGATAATATTGTTGATTAGTTTTTGTATCAATGGCGATTGGACATGAAGTTAAGATAGGAGTCCATCCCTCGGAACAATACATTATGGGCTCGTTTGGTAAATATATTATATATGGATTAAATATTGAATTATACTATTATTTATTTAATCGGATGTAATACCTTGTTTGTTTGTTAAATTTGATTTCATATTAGTTTCAAAAATTATATTTTTGTACCATCTATATAATAAAGTAGTTTACAATTCAAATTTCAAAAGATAATCAAAATGACTTTTACTTTTTACGGTTTAAATCGCTTTAAATTTTACTTTAAAATTAATCTAACGACTAATATTAACACCCTAAATTTAATAGGAAAAATAGGGTCTTAAGGATGTGTTTGAGTGACTTTTAAAAAGTACTTCTATGAATTATTTTTCATAAATATCTTTAAAAAAAAAGTATTTGAAACCGGTACACCACTACCTCTACCACCACCACTATGTCTACCACCGTCACCGCCACCACCGCTGCCGCCACTGCCACTGGTGTACTGTTGCAGGCAACCAAAAATAAAACCTATACTTATAAAAATACATGTGACGTCCCTAAAATCGGGGGTCTAGTTGACTACCCATTAACTCGCGAAAATATCCGGGATTGTTGCATAACTCAACATCACGTATATCCCATCCTTGTAATCGGGATTACAACTCACACGAGGATCCGTGTTTCCTTTTATCATTTAATCTCATTGAGGTTCAATATACCCTAATATATCTCATTTATGGTACATTTGTGTCATTAGAACCAAAGAACACATAACTCAAGAGTATGACAATGCATTCTTAAAATTTCAGATTTTTGAAAAACCTTCCGGAAGGTATGCTCACTGGAAAATTTCTACTGGAAAGTTTTATGGATCTTTCGGTAGGTTTTACCTACTGGACTAATTTCTATCGGAAGGTTTTACTTACCTTCCGGAAGGTTTGCCCACTGGATGAAAAATTGCATGAACCTTCCAGAAGGTTTTGTGGACCTTCCGGTAAGTTTTACCTACTGGACAGAAAATTTACACCAACCTTGTTTCATTAGATTTTCATTTCCAATTCATCCAAAACCTTTCCAAACTCATTCCAAACATGAATAATGACATTTTCTATATTATACATGATCCATACAAGTTCTATTACATGCATTTGCATAATTTTTACATGTTAAAACATTGTTCCAACAAAAATTACACAAAAATATGTCACAAAAGCCACAAGTCGACTTTTCTTCATCGTTGAGGCCCCCGAATGTGAATCCTCTCCCGGTACGAACCCCGCATCTGAAATATTTTCCGTATAGGGTGAGCCAACGCCCAGTAGAATATTTCCTTCAGAGGCTACTTCCCAACCTAAGTGCATATGTAATGTTCATATACAACATTTACAATCATATAATCATTTCAATCAAGAATATACATGATTCATGTTAGAATCTACCATGTCATGCCACGAATGAAATGAGATTCACTCACGCACATCAACCCGAACCCTCACCGGCTCTCACCATACTATGTAATGCAAGTGTAAAACCTTTATCATTGATGAAATACATCAAACGATCATTTTTGAAATACCAACTATATGTTTATATGACCATTTCATTTATGGATGTTTCCCATCAAATAAAAACTTTGTATTACAAAATCATGTGTCTTTGTTGGGTATCAAATTTTGGAATCACACCGACTGGCTCCGTATGCCATTACACTTTTTTGAAAGTTTACCACAGGGAAGTGTATGAACCAAGTAGTCGGGTTTTTCACCCGAGGGAGTGTCTAGCCCTTCTTGCTATACCCGACACAAGTTTTTCTCATGCAACATGCGACTCCATGGGATCTTCGATCCAACATCTCCTAGTCCACACATCAATTACCAATAGTGGTGTTTGATTAATCATTCATACACACCCACACTCATGCGTAAAACCCATGAATGTGATGCCAACCTCATGCCCAAAATGCAATGATGCCAATGAACAATTCAACCACATATGTTATGACAATCTATATCAATTGCATATAATTACCATGAATCAACATGATGTTAATATATTAACAACATATCTTTACTCATGTTTTCTCAACAAAATTTATGGCATATTATACAAACTCATACCATACAAGTAAATTCCACATAGGCATTTGACAAGACACCTCCAAAACAAACAATTCATGTCATCACATAAATTGGTCCACCATCATTCACAAGGTACAATGGCAACACTTATCAAGTTGCAACAAATTTCACATGTAAATTCCTCATACCAAAAGTAGTTAGGAACTTGCCTAGGCCAATTCCATACCCATTTCCATATCTCCATAACCCTAGTCAACCACCTAGGTTAATGTATACCCTTTACCCATTCCATATGACATTTTAGGTAAGAAAATAAACTAAGGTAGGAGAAATCTTACCTCTTGAAGCGTAAGATGAAGACTAGAAGCTTCAAGACACCTCCCTAGCTCCAAAAACTCTTGAATTCACAAAATCCTCCCCTTGGATCTTTGGTGAAATCCCTCGTTCTTGATACGTACGCGTAGATCTCGTTGCGTAGACCAACTTTAACTCTTGGTCCGATGGATTCCGAGCAACGGAAGTTCAGAAATCGGAGAACAAAGCTTGAAATTTATATTTTCTCTCTTCTCTCTCTTCTCACGCCTGAACTCAGTCGGCCAAATGGTGAGAAATATCTGAATTTTTAGATATTTTGCCCCTATTTATACTTTTAATTGTGCGGTCCACATTGTCCCGCTCGTTTATCACTTCTAGGTCCCTTTTTAAGCCGAAACGATTTAATTAAATTCTGGTTTTAGTTCAAATTAATTTTATTTTAACTTTTACTCAAATATAAGGAAATTTCATAATTTCTATTTTTGGGACCTTTGAAAGTTCATTCGTCACCCAATTGTCTCAAAAAACGTGTAAAATCCGATTATCTCAGAATTTGACAAAATTTGACATGGAAACTCAATTTCGTGATACGAATCCAACGGTGAAGTCTGTTGCTCCATTCGATCTCTTTAAATATATGCATTTTAAACCCGCATAATAATGACAAATTACTATTTTACCCTTTGTCGAAAAAAATTCAAATTTTTTCTGGGTTTTACAATACATGTAGTAGTGCGAGTAAGGATCATTCCCATGGAGAGTATCTAGCCTAGTTTTATGACTCGTGAACAAGGGTGGAGGAGGTTTGAGTTTAACGAAAACAATTTTAATAAAAACAACTAAAGAACAATTCAAATTAAAGTATCGAAATCAATCAAGAAAACAAACCTTGGTCTAAGTCAACATCTATCATCGGAATTTAATTTATAACTGATCATCGATGTAAGTATATATCAATTCACTAACTGAATATTCACTATTTGAACTATCTTCCTATCTTTCCTTAGTCGCGATCAATTAGAAAACAAACGATCTAATTAACCTTAACTACTAAACAACCCAAGACAAGTACTAAAGGTTTAATCTAGTAGCAACATTAAGAATTAGAAAGATCGATGAAACTAAACAACATAAGCACAAGCGGATGCATTTAATTTAGTCGAGCGTTCTTCCTAAGACCTAATAATTTCTGACGCACTAAATCATTTAATCTTAGTTGCTTCACAAATTAGAGTGGTCAAACAATTACGAATTTGATATCTAACCTAGTAGTGGATTGCAACGAATAATAAACTAGTAGGCCTCCTAGTAATTAAACGAGACAATCATAAAAAATAGGCGTAGTAGAATATTCGATAATCAAATCATAAATTAAACAATAAAAACATATTAGATCTCACAGTTTTATTTATTCTGAGGCTTCCTTTTCCTTTGACCCAGTATCAAGGTTTAGC